AAAAAAATCGTACAACGCTCAACATAAAAGCAAATTAAAGATAAAGATTCACTCTTTCGAAAGCTGTAAACTGCATTTGCATGCGATTTTTAATTCGCGCCATGGGACTTGTTAAAGTTCGTAAAAAATTTTGAGATTCGTCGGATCTCCTTTTCTATCCGTATAATTCCATGAAAAATCAGTAGGATCGTTTTCTAAAGTACCGATTTGAAAAGTAGAGATTTTAAGCTGTAAAATGCTTTTTGGAACATCTCGATACGATTATTTTTGACGAAGTTACACTCTCTTGAATTTTGCCTATTTTTGGAGGGTAGAGTAAGTGATGCTTCAATTTTGTTGAGAAGTGTATTTTACCTTTGCATAAAACAATGCATATTGCGAACTAAAACGAAAAAAAAATTATAAATTTTGTAACAATTTTATATCATAATATATAAGCGATTATGTAAGCATAGTATTGCAACTACATTATTTATATATTATTAATATATTATTGCATATATATTTTTTATTCTAATAAAAAAATTATTATTCTAATAAAAAAATATACAAAGAATGTGATAATCTCGTTTCATTTTCTGTTATACTTATATTTCCATTAATATTTATATTAATTTATATTTTTACATCTAAATTGTTTCTTTATTATGCATTATTAAGTGTCTGATAGGAAAGTCAAGAAGACGGGGATTTTTAATTTGATATATTTAACATTTATTGATATAACCACCCCAGTGTGGAAAATCGCTAACAATACAATGATATTTCGCTTATTGCAATCTCTTTTTGTCTCAGTAAGTCTAATCGCCTTAAGATATAATTAGAATGATAACACCGGAACACCACTCTCGCCTCTACTCGTTACGATTTGATTGAAAATGAATCGATTTTACGCGCGGGGACAATCGGAAAAGACTATCGAATTGCGCCAGTAAAGTAATTAACTTGCAGTCGTGATTTGCACGTCGTGCGTCTGTGTCACACGACTAATTGATTTATGTGACAAATTCGATAATGCGCTTTGCAAGAATTAGATATATCTAGTAGCAATGATTTTCACTGCTGTTTTAAGCGGCAAAGTTTGTGCTAGCTAAATAAGAATATATATAATAAAAACAATATGATGCATTTTCGACTAACTCTTCTATGTATATATGTATATACATATATACAAATAATTAAAATTTTTCCATAAAACACAACAAAAGTGCAAATTCATGAGACGCTCGTTTCAGCGTTACACGTAGTCACGTGACTTCGACTTTGACGCTATAGCGTCAAAAAAAGAAGCTAAATTTTCTCAGCTTCAACGTCAAATCCTGTTGTTGTTTTGTTCTGAAAATTTTAGATACGAATGATACGATTGACGTTAAATTTGATGTTACCGCTTTTCGTGTAACCCAACTATAATCACGTAATGTTGACGCTAAAAATGAGCGCCAAACGTCAGCATGAAAAGGCACCTTAACATTCGCCAGATAGAATCCATTAAAATAAATAAGATTAAATAGATATGATTGACTTTCAATTAACTTCATAAACTGAGCGAATAATGATGCTATATATGACAAAAATATTCTTTTCCCATTTTGGTACAACTCATTTTATCATTTAAAAATAGTGCTTGAACTACATCGGTATTTAACTTTGAAATCTTGTGCGTGATGTAATTTGATGTTTGCTCCTTATTTCTAAAACTAAAGTTAAAACTAAAACGTTGTAATCCTGGAACAACTCCTTTTTGCGTTATACTATAAAACCTATTACTATCACAATGGTGGTTAGAATAATTTCTAATGGGTCTCCGTTTCGCAAAAGTTACTACAAACGTGAACGTGATCGTAACTTTTATAAATAATTTCTAATAATCTCTAATCGGCCTTTGTGTGAGTTTTTGCAAATTACTGGCGAGATGATCATTAATTTTTACGAGGCATTTACGAGAGCTTTCAAGACATAAAAGCACATGTTTTTTATAAAATATATCTAATCAATTGCAAGAAGAATGTATATACAAAAAGGCCGAATCTAATTTATAAATATTTTTCAAATGCCCTCGTAAAAGAAGGAAAATCGTGGATAGAAATAATCTTGAAATCTGTGCAGATGCACGTGCTGTTTAAAAAGTTGAATTTGTTATAAACGGAAATAAAAACGTATCGCGCGCGAGAAGAGTTTTCGAAGATTCGTTAAAAGTGTGTGTTCCAAAAGAAACTCCACCTATATCCTGTCGTAATCTATAACTAGAGATTACCTATCGCGCGTTAATGTCGTTAATTAGAAACTACGTATGATGATTTACAGATTGGCAGTATGAGATATAATTAATGCATTCTGCATAATCACTGTAGTAATGTATTTTGTATTATCACTATAAAGAGTAACAGATCCGAGCCCGAGGAAGGACGCTCACGCTAATCGATCGTAACTCTAACTGTGACTTCACTATAAAAAAGTGCTTCCAAGCTCAACAATTGTATCGTCTCTAATATAACCAGTGATATTACGTAACGATCAACTATTTTAATAAACTGCGACATCCTTTTTTCACGAGCAATATTATTAGTATATTATTCGGAGGCCATCCGGATATTTCGAGTTACAACATATTTCTACACTCGAATAATTTGTGAAAACTTCCGAAGTGTTTCCGTATAATAAAAATTATCACAAATGCTAAAAAACGCTGCGAAATAATGCAGTTAAAATCTAAGCAATATCTAAATTAGTTTCTTTATAATATTAATTTTCTCTGTTCTTTCCCTTAAGCCAGTTCAAACGAATTTCCTACACAATAAATAATATAAATGGACAAATCGTATAATTACAATTATGCAATTACATAACTGTGCTATGTGCACGTTTAATTATAACTGGGCTGATAATCAGTGCAAATAGATTCGAACGTCGAAATAATTCGTTCAAATATCGATGACCTCCGTCCAATAGTTCCTGTTGACTATTTTATGCGCATTTACGTGAATATTACGCTTACAACGCCGTTTATCAGTGTACGTAAATCGGGATGGAGACTATCTCCGCGCTCGCTAAAACTGTCCCTCGCTTGAGATGATTGAGAGAAGGAGATAGATAATGACTAAGTAATAATAATACTCTTCGACAATATTTAAGTTTAAAGCCACGCAATTTTTTTTTACAATATCGTACGTAGATCTAACGTCTTCTAAACCTTAAGAAATTGACTAGGTTGTCGCTCAGTTAGATTCCTAGCTATAGTCCCCCCATCCCCCTCGTATATTTTTTTTTCTCTTCCCACGTGTCTTTTGGGAATTATCGCAATTGATTCGATTTGTTACGCATTTCTTTGTCGCTCGTGGTTCTCGACAGCCGAAAGTCGATCACAAACGTACCCTCCAAAATTAAAAATCAGCGTATCAACATATTAATCAAGGATTTGCTTATTAAAACGTATTTGCTAAAATCGAGCCAATGATATGACATAACTTTAATGCACGTTTTAAAGTGTATACAGGGCTGTTATTCGAAAATATATCATCATCCTTGCGAATTAAGTATTGACCTTAACTTAGATTTGCAATCGATTATACCTACATTTATTATACCTCTTCGTATTAGCTTCGACGCAACTTAATTGCGTTTCAACCTCTTAGAGTCATATTTTGCAATCAAAAAACATTTTGCAAGTTCGGCGATTCTGTTAGAGTTCGTGCGAAATATAAAGTTTAATTCATTAGAACCAATAATCTCAAATAACTTGTCGTTTCTATTCCGTTTCTTTTAAATGATTTACCTTTAACGTATGTCCAGTGCTTGATATAATTAAGTTTTACTTCTCTAGGAACATTTCACATTTTTATTTCAAGAATTTATTACGTAGTATACATCAGTTAGAAGTTAGAAGCAAGTAGATTTCAGTTAACTCTGCTTCATGTAAAATTCTGTTTTTCCAGTTTATAATTCATAGGCATGTTTCTTTTTAAACATCAAACAACGCGCGATCAATTATATTCAAAATTAAAATCTGTGTTCATGAACATTTCTAGGTATATTAGTGCAATTATTTTTATTTTTATGCTTTTTTAGTATTTTGTTAGGAATTTTTGTGCTTTTTTCTTGCTTTCATAACGAATTACAATAACGAATTGTAATCAGCAAAAATTACTGATCATTACAGGAAATCTGCGTAGAGAAATGTTTTCGCGAATATACTTCGTGTCTCATAAAAGGTAACAAAAATTTATAAAAAATATACGGCATCCCGTGTTTGTACAGTTTATGCGCATAGATATAGTCATCCGTATTGCGATACGGTACAAAAGCAAAGGGAGGTGCCAATTTGCCACGATGTTTGCTCGTGTACAAGTAAATTAATTTCGAAATAGTGTGGGGAGGGAAATATAGCAAAAGTCTGCTAGAAAAGTTTTCTCGATATCTCGGATCGATATCTCAAAACGCGTGCTCGCAGTGTTTTCGATTTATGTTGTAACATTTTACGACGCACATTGAATATCAATCAACATGTATGGCAGAGATTTAAAGTATAGGTACTTCCCAAAAAACGTGTTTGATTATACATATCCCCGTGGCTAGCGCTACAATGTATAAATATATACATCGACAAGACCGTAGGAAGATGTATATAATAAATGTGTATCGCGCCATCTTCAAATTGAAGTAATCAACGCGATCCCGCTTATCAGACAAATCGTCATTTAACATCTTGAGAAGTCGCAGAACGGCATTAATCGCACCAATTTAAAAAGATACGCCACGTTCGTATATCCTAAAGAATATAAATCTTCCGTCAACAATTATCTCGGCGAGATTAATCGCAGTGCAGATTTTGCACCATTATGATCGCGCGCGTTAATGTTGCTAGATTTCTTTTTTTATTTTAATTATATCCTTCAATCTTGTGAAGGGGCCATTAATGTGATAGTGCTTACAGAGATCGAGTGTCCAGCATAAAAGCAATCTACTTAATTTTGTACATTAAACAATTTCTGATATAAATTAACGCTCCTGATATAGAGTAACGCGTCCTTGATTGAAGAAACTGTTTGATGTTAAAAGAAGTTCCTATAAATCGATCGGTTTTTTCCCCTCGTTTTTTACAACTTTCTGTAAGCGTTCGCAGATTAATGGTCGACATTGTATACACGCCCTCATTCCAAGTTCGGTCCTAACACTTGATGGCGATAAGCTTCTTGTCTTCTGCGATCACATCAGACTCGAGGTGTAGCATCTCTATATAAGGCAGTACGAGGAACAGAAGGATCATAAAGGGAATTACGAGAGAGTATCAAAGGAAAAAAAGAAGAAGAGGAAAAAGGAAAGAAAAACTATATATTCGCCATCCTTCGCGGAGCCATTTGAATCATGTTTTATACATTTTCTTCGTATCTTCGAATCCAAGGGAAATACTTTATAGCGCTAGAAATTTCGTATGATCAAACAATTGGAATATAATTGTGAATTTCAAGACCTTAAATTGTACAGACCGTCTCAAACACATTGAACAGTTCAAACTATTCGATCCGTTAAAGCTAATCTCATCTTATAAATCTAAAACGGAACAAACGAAAGTTTTTTTTGTTTGCAACAATTATTATTTTTGTTCAAACGTTTAGCGATGTTCGAGCTATTCGAGCAGCCGAATCTTTAAACTGATCAACTTCAAACTTGATCGTTAACTTCAAATCGTCCGAAGTTTACACTTGATGGCGATAGCTTCTTCTTGTCTTCTGCGATCACAGACTCGAGGTGTAGCATCTCTATATAAGACAATACGAGGAACAGAAGGATCATAAAGGGAATTACGAGAGAGTATCAAAGGAAAAAAAGAAGAGGAAAGGACAGAAAAACTATATATTCGCCATCTTTCGCGGAGCTATTTGAATCATGTTTTATACATTTTCTTCGCATCTTCGAATCCAAAAGAAATACTTAATAGCGCTAGAAATTTCGTATAATCAAACAATTGGAACAGTGCAAATTTCAAGATCTTAAATTGTACAGACTGTCTCAAACACATCGAGCAGTTCAAACTATTCGATCCGATTAGAGCTGATCATGGAGCTGATCTCATCTCATAGATCTAAAACGGAACAAACAAAAGTTTATTTTTTTGTTTGCAATAATTATTATTTTTGTTCAAATGTTTAGTGATATCCGAGCTCTACTCGAACAGACGAATCTTCGAAATAATCAACCGTCAACTTCAAACTTGATCGTTAACTTCAAATCGTCCGAAGCTTATTCATTTTGACTTGATGAGCGTAACTTATTTGAGTCTCTCGTGCCTGAGTCTTAACAAGATTTAATACTTAAGTGTTCTCAGTTTCCGATGACTTATCTTCTACGTACATACGAGACCCTGTGTCCTAAACAGATCCGATACGTAACTCAAGAACTTACAGCTGTTCTCGAACCGCAATAGAAATCTGCGATCTTGCTGTTATTGTTATTAAGTCGTTGATTAGTCGTTATAGAAACGCGTAGGGCGTAGCCTAGCAACACGCGTGTGTCGTTCCTGATTTCCCGGTGAAAGCCATCGCGGGCCGCAGCGAAAAGGTTGCTCGTTTCCGTCGCTCAGCGACGATACTTCCTCTCCGGGAGGTAAGCCGCGCACTTAATAGTCGCTAATTCACCCGCGACGAGCACGTGATCAAAGACGACCGATCAACGACGATCCGGCTTGATGCGAAACATCAACGGTGGCGGACGATACTTCCACAAGGGTACGTGTGGATTGTGATCGCGTTACGTGTGTTTTTTTTTGTATAGAGCGTATCGACGAGACGGTGCGCATTTTGTTTTCCGAGAACTGAATTCCTCTCCAATCGCCAGTCGTGGCGCGCCCGGCGACCGCGCACTTAATTGCGAATTTATATCCTAAATTACGGTGTATGTATATATATAAATCGTACCGTATTATTTCTCGTTTTATATACTTAAGTAACAGCTAACTACGGTAGCTTTGGTGTTTCATTGTACGATTTTGATAATCCATAAATCGCCACACGCGCTCTCTCAGGCTTCCGCTACTCGGCTAGTCTCTGACGTATATGCCCGCACGCTTGCACGCCTACGACTCGCAATAACGGATACATTAGAAAATCGATGCTTCCACGCACGTACACACCTACAACATGTTATACGTTATGAACGCTTACGAGGAGCCGAGCAGGCGATCAATATCTCTTGTCATTGCTTCAATATCGGTGATACGATTGAATGGCAGATATTGCGGAACTATATATCGCTAAGGAAAAGAGTATCGGGGAAACACGGGATTGATAAGAGCCGAAGGTACTTTTCCGATAAGCGTATACGTGTATACGCTCCGCGTACGGTAGATCGATGGCAGAAGGAAAAATTCACCGCAGGTCCGGGATGGCTGGTATTGATTTTGTTAATACGCGAGTATCGGCCGGTGGGTATGCATTTTGTATATCGAAAAATTGGCCATACCAATCACGCCAGCAGATATATTGAGTGCCTGCGCGGCCCGATTAGAATCGATTGGGTCTAGAACCTAACAACGAAAGTACGTATGTGTGTGATATCTACGATCGTCAACGATCGTGCGGACTAACAATTTAATCGAGGGGAGACCGACGCGCGTAGCCATGTTAATCAATCATCCTCGCCGTTTGCGATGCATAATCGTTACGCGACCACGCGACATCGTAATGAGCGGTCGTAACTGAAGAGACTATGAAGAGATCAACGGGTGTAACAATTATGCAAAGTGTATGAACCAAATGACAGACGCTAAAAAAGTTCGCGTATATATTATACATTATACAGGGTCCCCCGAATCATCTGAGAAGCCGAACAAGAGATAACGCGGTAATGGCAAGATGCACTCTGTATATATAGCTATATGACTTTTTTTAAACAAATTAATATTTTTCCGAATATGTAGAATGATAATCTACAATGAGAATAAAAGTGACCTAAAAAATCATGTTTTTGGGCCCTCGATTTTTAGACTGCATTGTGTGCCAAATGATACCTTATAATGAGACATTAATTATAGAGAAGTTTCAAGTTGAGATGACTGTTATCAGAGTTAGAGGAGAGGGAGGGATAAAATCAAAGTTTATTATAGAATTATCACAGGTTTGCGAGGTCCGGTATTTTAAGAAGGTTGATCTAGCCGATGAAGGTTGATCGCAGTTATATGTATATGACGCTCGTTTTTTTATTATTAAAAAATCGAGTTCGCGTAATAAGTGACCCCCCCCTCCAGCTGTGAAAACAATTGTCATCTCAACCTGAAACTTCTCTGTAATTAATATCTCATTAGAAGGTACTATTTGGCACATAGTTCAATCCCAAAATTAAAGGCCCCAAAAAAATGGGCGAAAAGACCTTTTTTTGGGTCACTCTTAAAATCTCTCAACGTGGAAAATTCTTTTCTTTTAATAACGCAATTGCGCGAGGTACTGTTTATCACTAGGGAGAAGACGCAATCAAATATGACAAAAAAATTCCAAATAAACCACACAATCCCCCCGTGAGTGAGAAAGAAAATCCTGGTAACGCGAAGTCGCGCGATTCTTCACGGGCCTCTTTTTAGCAAGCTTTTTAGCATCTACATATCATAGAAACAGAATTGTGCAGATGTAATGCGGAACGTTCGAAACTGGATGCGACATTTCCTCCCCAAGTGACCTATAAATAATTTTCTTTTTTTTTTTTTTTTCGGAACAATTTAGAATCCGCGTTCCCTCGCGCTGCAATTTCCGACTCACAACCACGCATAGCACCGCCGTTTTTCCCTCTTCCTTTGTCGTCGTCCGAAAATCCCACAAATTTGGCACGAATTCGTGATACCAGGTTCTTCCGATCGCGGGATCTCCACGCGGCAAGTCGCAGAAAGAAAGTGGTCAATTGCATCTTGTTCGGGCCCCCGACCGGGCATCTCCTCACTTTCGAGGACGTCCTTTTCTTAGACGCCGTTCTTCACATCTAAGAAATCGCGACGTAGGTGCCAGGTCTTCTATCTCGCGTATTAATAATACAGTTTTGACTTTGATCGAACATTCTTGCAACTCCGCTGCCAGAGATCGGCGCCAGTTGTCGGGTCTGCGATTGCCAAAATAACCCAGCGATCGTTGTTGCGGGATCGTCCGCAAGATGTTGGTAGAAGAGCGGCGATCTCCACGCTGTTCCGCGTGTTGTTTTCGAAAGCGGCTGAGTCCCCGCTAAGCTCCGCTCGTCGGCGAGAGTAACACCTTGCACCGTGTCCTCGTACTGCTTTGCGCAACGTGTATCGCAGAACGAAGGGGGAACGAAGGTGTCGGGAAAGCCGCTCTTCTCTCGATTCCACAGATTTAGACCTTGATTGCTACTCTACGTCGCTAGGAGCCGTGTTATCGCGTTGCCCTAAAAGAGAGGAAGATCAAGGCCTTAAACCATAAGAGGCTTTGATCGAGAGAAAAGATCTTAAAGATAATAAAAAAATATTTTTAAAAAAGACTGAAGTTCTGGAATAAAAATAGATAGCGAAATGGAAAAATAAAGCGATCAGTTAAGTAGACTTTAACATTTAATTCGATGCTGGCAAAATAACCGTCACAAAAGAATCAACAAAAATATCATTCTCCAAACAAATTTTCGCCGAGAAGAAAATTATCTTTTAATTGAATTCCACGAGAGATCTTCGAATTGGCGAGTTCGCTACATTCCCTAGTTATTCCAGTATCTTCGGTTTTCATAAGAATTACATTCGAGAAGTGCCTATCTCGCTCGAGGAGGAGAGAGAGCGAGAGAGCTCTCGGTGGTTCGGGGAGGGCAAGTATCGGGAAATCTAAGCTACGGCGATTTACCTTCAACAAAAGAGCGGCGCCTCCGGTTGGTTCCACCAGTGGGCGGCCAGGAGTAGATAGAGCTCTTGATCCTGGACGGTGTAACCGGGCGGCGGCTGAGAGGGCAGAGGCGGCGGGATAGGCGGCAGCAGGGAATAGGACGGCGGCGGCGGCGACGGGGACAGGGATTGCGAGAACGTTGTCGTCGAGAGCGGCGTCGGCGGCGTCGCGGTGACCGCTGCTGGAGGCTCGTCCTTAGCCGGAGATCAAAGCGCGCAGTCGAACATCGCCAGCGACCGTGTGATCACATCGTCCTGCGATCAAGTTTACATCGACTAAAGACTTTTGCGTCGTCTGCTTTCCCTCCCGGAAATTCTAATCAGTTCTAGGCTTAGCGCAAGACGGGGCGCACGCCTCGCCCCGAAACATTATTCCGTTATCGACGAGAGCGGCGAACAAACTACAAACAAGCTCGCGCAAGCTCCGTAAACATCGATTAATCTCCGCTGTCCTTATTTTTGTTTCTTGCATACGTGCCTCACGTGCCTCGCCGCGAGTTCACGTGCATCTATTGTCGGCGCAATACACCCGTATGCATTTTTGTGTATGTATTTCCATCGCAGCATTAAGACTCGCGAGCACGAGGAGTTACAAATTGCAAATATTTCACGAGAAATTGTCTTGTGGCCGCATACACGTTCCAGTAAAAATAGCTCTACGAAGATATTTTAGTCTTTAATATCGAATGATTCTGCCAAATTTAATTTCCAAGAATTGTAAGTGGATAATGTATTTCTCGGTTAAATATAAAAGGCTATTAATTCAACAGAAATATATATACAATTCGACAGTTAATTAACGCGATGTATAACATGGAAAATTATGAACTCAATTCAAAAAGAGGGAATCGTTCCAAGTCTGGTCTGAACTGAGCGAGTTGAAACTATAGCTAAAAGAACACCCGGCAGATCTGGGACATTTAGTATATATACGTACGTCTCGAGGAACTTGGCATTCATTTGCGAAAGGGAGTGCATACAGAGTGTCCCAAGTTCACTATACCTTCTTCTATTCAGACTTAAACTGAACTGAAGTTACTATTAAAATAGCCCGGTCCGTCAATATGGGAATTACACATGTGACACACTGATAGCAAAGACGTTGAAGAAAAGTCAGCCGTCTCATCGGAATTTCAAAGAGTCTACTTGTCGCAGAGACAAAAGGGAGCGACGCGACGATAGAGACACCCTATACACTTTCCATCTACTATATACTTGATCGTCCGTAGTTTCACGGCCAGACGTACCTTCAAACAACTCTCGATAAACTCCTCGATCGTGATAACGCCGTCCTGGTTGAGATCGAGTTTCTTGAAGACCCTGTCCAGCTGTTCCCGCGCCTTTCTCTCCTCCTCGGCATGATGCCGCTTGCCCATGAGCTCGTGGACCGCCGTCACGACTTCGCCCAACTCGCCCCTGGTGATGCAGCCATCGCCGTTTATATCGTACAGCTTGAAGGTCCACCTCAATTTCTCGTAAATGCTGCCCCGCAGCAGGGTCGACAGCGTCACGAGAAGATCCTGCAATCCCCGGGATTGTCTAGAGTTGCGCGCGACTTTAATATGAAGCGCAGCGGAACGACCGGTCCTCTCGAGTGGGTCCTCTCGAGTGGGTCCTCCCGACCAAATCTCGTCCGAGATCGTCGAGATCGTCCACTTTGTGAATTCCACGAAAATTGAAATAAAATTTCACGATTCGTCGGATAACGAAAAACAGTTCGGACGTAAATGAATATAAAAAGAGTGAAAGACGCAAGGAAAGCAGAAAACCAGAAAAAAAGTAACTGTTTCTTTCAAATGAATGCTCGGTAACATTTTCCGTCATAAAATAAAGGATTGTAATAAAAAAAGGATTGCAATAAAAATGCAGTAATGTTAAATAATTTAATTTGTAAAAGTATTGTAATATAACATTATATTTAAATTATGATTGCAATAATAATACAACTACTTTTGAGAATAAAACAATATATCTTGTAAACTAAAATTTAGGCCAAATTAACTGTCTTTTAAATAAAATTAAATAAAATTATCATGATTTCTCTGATTTTGATAATATAATAGCAATATAATATTTTATAAATTATATACAGAGTGTTTATATACAGAGTCTTAAATATGAAAAATTTAATAGAATATTTCTTCGCTTAATTTATGAAAAAAAGGTCTATGAACATACATATATTCTAAAGTGCTTTATTTTTTAAATACAATTAGTGTGTGTGTGTGTGTGTGTGTGTGTGTGTGTGTGTGTGTGTGTGTGTGTGTGTGTGTGTGTGTGTGTGCGCGCGCGCACGCGCGCTACACACAGTTTGTCTGAAAAGTATTTTAAACTTTGTTTAAGAATTTAATTTCTTTTGCGATTTTTCTAATTTTATTTATTAATTATTCTTATTACATTCCACTTGAAGTAATGCAGTTTTTAGCAATCGTAGAATTTCTAAAAAATTTTTATTAATAAATTTCTTTTAAAATGGAAAAAATGACCTTAATTACCTTCTGTATCTCATAATTTTCACACAAAAAGAACAATTTTGTTGAAAGATCTAAAATGTAGCTGAATACAAATCTGAGAATAATTTGTTAAATCATCAAAATAATTATGTTGGAAACTCAATATTGATGAGCAATGCTGTAAAAAATTTTAATATTCTAGCAATCAGTTTGAGTTTTTAACGTAATTAATTTCAGGTCTGTGTCCAGCTAAATTTTAGACTCTTTCAACAAAATTATTCTTTCCGTGCAAAATCATATTAAAGTGCTGTCCTTTTAGCTTCATTTTCACTTTCGTAAAAAGAATATAATCATAAGAAGCTGTGTCAGCTGAATACGATGGATGGCCAAGTAGGAATGACTTGGTTAAAATACCTTTTGAGACTAATGTTCAGATCTGTGTCCAGCTAAATTTTAAAATCTTTCAACAAAATCATTCTTTCCGTGCAAAATCGTATTAAAGTGCTGTCCTTTTAGCTTCATTTTCACTTTCGGAAAAAGAATATAATCGTAAGAAACTGTGTCAGCTAAATACGATGGATGGCCAAGCACTATAGGACTTGGTTAAAATATCTTTTGAGACCATTGTGCTCGTTTTTTATTCCATTATTTTTCTCAACGAGCATCAAAACGTACTCTCACTTTTGGCGTCACAGCAAATACATAATATAACATAGAAAAATGCAACTCTATACAAAGTTAGAAATAAAGTTTTATAAAAAATAATTCCGTATTATTAACTATTTCAACAAAAAACTTTAGTTACATAGCCTGTAGAAAAAAGTTCGAACTTTTGAAACAGACCATGTATATAAATTATATAAACTAAAGCAATTTACTGCATTTATCTATATCTAGCAATATATTGCATAGTTGTTATACAACTACAAAGTGAAAACTACGTCATTCACGGTTCATGCATATTAAAAGAAAAATCTGCAATGATACAAAAAAAAAAGAATCCTTTACCTATGACACAAAGCATCGGCGAGGGAAATTAGTCAAATAAAATGGTGTCCACGTGTCTCGGGTATATTCGAGTTCATGTTCTAACGCGAGTAGCGCGTTGGACCACTGAAAGCTTTAATAACGCGTGCCGATGCTCGGCATCAAGCTGCCTTCGTTGCCTGCCGCAATAAATTTTCTGTATGACCGCGGAACATTCGCGCGGAATGACGGATGATCAGCCGTGGATTCCCGTGAGAGCTTCGCAGGCGCATTTGCCTTCCTCCTCCTCGCGCGACCCCGTAACCGATGCATACCGGTGCATACGTATATATCTCGCGTTTATCGTAAAAACGATTAATTATTCATCCGACAGACGACTCGCTCAATTGGCGGTCGACCATCCCGGCTCGTCGATCGGGCTGCGCAACGTGGCGGCGGCCCGGGGGGTCGTTCGCGTGCCGCGCCATTATCGCGAAACGCGGATGTGCATCGTCCGCCCGCATAAATGCATCGGCATTTGCGTTCCGTTTGCCGCAACTCGCCGAAATTCGTCCCACCGAGAGAGATTCGTCGCGCTCGCGAGAGTTTCATCCGCGCAGTAATTATGTACGACCGGAGGACCGTACCCGCAGGAATCGCGGCACAAAATACGCATCGAATTAAGCATGGGCCTAAATACATGATCAAAATTTAATCAACGCCGATTGATGATAATAATGCACTAGATTTAAAATTGATATATAAGTTGTGTATCGCGGTATAATTAAATAAAACGCTCGTATATTATTTCGGCTAGGTAATTTATTATTATTGTGTAATTAATCGTTAATGATGAAGCTACTATCCGAATAAATAATTCCTTTAAATAAAATGTATGATTTTTACTTTCCACAAACTATACTTTATGTGTATTCGACAATCGATTAGAGTACAGCGAAGTAATTTAAATAATTTCAAACTTTTTGAACAATTTCTCGAAAAATAATAATTTTATCTTTAAATTGAATATGTAGCAGAAAACTCACATGTTTAAAGAATATTTACCCAATACATGAAAAATTATTCTTTATCTTGAGATCAACGTCATTATAGGATTTACCTTTACAATTTTAACTAAAATTAATTTTGAGGGGTAATTTGAATAACATTGAAAACAAACATTAATATTACAATAAAAACCAAATCTTATATTTAAATGTTTTTTTGAACATTTTATTATATTTTCCAAATCAAATTGAACGCAAATTAGAAAAACATAAAATGATCATGTTAGTCCCAATATTTTAAGTACGACGAACATAAATAAACTTTTTAACATTAATATTATAATAAAAGTAAAACATTATATTTATCTATTATGTTTTAAATATTAAATTGCACTTTTCAGACAAAATTAAACAGAAATTAATAAGAGAACCTCTGGCTTCGAGATATTTAACTCTTTCTAAAGTTTTCTAAAACGTTACTAAACACAACGGGATGCTCAATAGAAGTTCTAGGAACTTCATTGTCACCATATTGGTTTTTGTTCAGATTGTACTTTTCTGTATAAAACATGAAATAGTTATACAGCTCTTAAAATCGAGATTACACCATCAATGCCAGCTATAACGGCTTGCTCTTTCTGCTCCAATTCAATCCAGCAATCTTTTTTTATAATGCCTAGTATAATGAAATTATACTTAATGTCTAGTATAATGAAATATACACGGACAGAACGATTTTACTGGAAGATAAAAAAAATCTGAAAATAATTTTTGTTAGAGCACCATCAAAATATTTTGTCGGAAATTCAAAAATAATAAGCATTGCTGTAAAAAGTTTTGTATTCTAATAATCAGTTTGACTTTTGAACAAAATTATTTTGATGATGCTTTAATAAAAATTTTCAGATTTTTTTTATCTTTCAGCAAAATCGTTCTTTCCGTGTATCTTAAAATCTCTTATTTTTCTGAAATTCTTGCAAATCTTACTATTATCCAAATCTTCCTATTGTTCAAATTACCCCGCTGTACCCTACATAAGTACGCAAATAAAATAAAATTTATTTAAACATTTCTGAATAATTGGTTCATTTCGTCGGTAAATGCACGCGCGATAACATTTAGAAGCTTAATACACGCTGAGGAAAATTTTCTCGCACAAAGGATACGCGACGTCGAGACGAGGACACACGTGTTACGCGCCGTCATTCGAGAGCGAAGATACACGCCAGCGGACATATCGGCCAATTTAAAATTAATGAAAAGACTACATGCATTACATGAGAGACAGACAGAGAGAGACTTAATTACCCTGAAGCTGATGGCCCCGTTGCAATTAACGTCGAAGGCCTTGAACACGTAGTGGGCGTAGAGACTGGAGTCTGCAATTCGCATGAGGGGTGGCCATTAACTAATTACGCAAAAACGTGGGCTGTTATTTAATTGGAACTCACTGCCGTGCGGGAAGAATTTCGCGTAAATGTCCTTGAACGAGTCCTCGTGCACTACTCCCTCGGGACACTCCTGGAAAAAAAGAAGGAAAGAAAAAAGGTCGTGAAAAATGATCGTGCTCAGTTCCGCGAGAGAGTTTTATCAGGGCGAGATTAAGCGACACTCTATATATATACGTATACATGTGTAGCGTATATATGTATATTTGCCGACGACCATTTGTTCGGACGAGCAATGCTATTTTGTGGCTTGAAAATATGTACTGGTGAGACACCGATGACTCGTTCGTCCATCAATAAAGCGCACAGAATAACATTGGTCGCTTTAATGCTCGTGGCACAATAGATCGCGCGCACACAGAGGCAAGAGAGAGAGAGAGAGAGAGAGAGAGAGAGAGAGAATTGATAAAACCAATTGCATAGATAACAGTTTTATCGATCCACCATAGGTATTCTCGTATCTTCCCCGTAGTAAGAAATAGCATATCGAGGCGGCGAACGTATCGTAAATCATCACAAGCAGGAGGGGGGGGGGGCGTTTCTCGCGAACTCTGGTAAAGTAACTCTTGTGTTTTTCATTTCTTTGTGCAGAAGCGGACGTGAACAATGAGGATCCCGCACACGATATCGAGGAACGTTGTAGCCGCATACAGGTAAAATGGAATAGAATAAATGAATCCTTGCGACACGCGGCGCGTGATGCACTTTCTCTTATCTCCCTTTATAGGGTAACTCCGGTATATACGCCGCACCTATTAAAAACTTAATTTATCAGGTATTATTAATTATGTTTAAAATAAATAAACTATATCAGTAAAAACTTTAGACTATTTACTACTGTGAAAAAAATATTGTATAATATGTACGATCCTTTTATCTCCTTATGTGGAGCATAGGACGTCTACAAGCCTCTTCCATTTTATTCTATTAGGGGCAATCGCTTTTTATTTCTGCCCAGCTCTTTCCTATTGTTTCTTCTTTGTTACTTTTTTGTTGACCGTTCTTCTCCATTAAAATCGAAGCATATGTGGGGTGAAGAATCGAACTCGACACCGTCGATTATAAATTAACGTGCTCGCATATCGAGCCATTCGTTACCCCGCGGCCTGTATTCGTTTCTCGAATCAATTTCTTTTCGGACTTGCGGGTGATTAGCCCAATCCTATCCAGCCGTCAGAGTTGTGCTGACTGTCGGTTGACCGGAAGAACCGGAGGGGGGGGGGGCAATTTTTTGTTTTATTTATTTTTATTTATTTACTTGAGTTCTAGATGGTTTTGAACTCGGGTCTCCTACACACCATCATGTATGCCACAGCCACCACGAAAAAAATATTAGAAATCCAAAATATTTATTTTTTTATATCAAAAAATTCTTTAAACCCTTGCATGTTTGAGTAGCCGTATAAAAATATGGGTGAGTTATACGGCTACTCACGGGTGAGATGAATGATTCGAAAAATACACAAATAATCTAAATAATAATAGTAAATAACACGTGAATTGATAAAGTATTGATAAAGTAATTTGCACTTACTTATTAATAAATAAATAAAAAACGTATTATCACAGATTATGAATAACTACATACATGAATATTATATTAATGTATTGTAAAGGGCGTATTATCACGTATTATTATTTACTTTTATATTTATAAATAAATAATAGAGCGTTTGTACTACGGTATAAATCCCACGCGCTAAAAATGCCGTATATCCTAAACAGATGGGATATACGAAACAATAAACTAAACAAAGAATTTACAAGAGCCAAACACTTGTATTTTGCTATATTCAATCCTTTACAATTCCTTTACACTTATGTACCACGAAATAACAACGAAGCCTTTTATATTTCCTACAATAATCATTTTATGTAGATTACTTATTAGAGAACTTATGATTGCGCTACTTATTACAGATAAATCGATTTAACTTGCAATAATTTTATAAATATTAACAGTAAAAAACTGAAATCATAACACAATAATACTAATATAACATAAAGTTATGTAACAGAGTGGTTACGAGAAAATTACTTTCACTGCTTCTATTTTTTCTGACTTCTGCGGCATAAATTCTCGCGCAGCGTATAAACCGGAGTTACCCTACATTCTAATTTCCATATACATATACACGCAAATCGAGTTTTTCTTGAATAAAGTAAGTCAAGTAAGATATCTAGGGATTGGAGGTAACTAACTCGTTACTTGTAACGCCGTTACCGCAACAGTTACTTTTTTTGTAACGGATAGGTAACGGTGTTATTCTTTTTTTTATAACTGTAACGATAACGTAATTATATTTTCTCGATAACAATAACGAATTATACAGTTACTTTTTGTGTATATTGAACTTTTTGTATTTGTAACAAAATTTTCGTATACTCAATCTTCAGTCTTTAGCTGGTATTCACAGTTTGTTCTTATTTTAAGACTGTTTTAAATAATAAAATTCTTAAAATTTAAATAATTTTTAAATAATAAAGTTCTTAAAATATTAATATGGCTTTGTGATTGCTTTAGGACATCTTAAGAATGCCATAAGTCAATCAATATCACAAATTAAATTGACAAGTAATTTAATAAGATATTTACGTTGATAAGTATCTTAAAATACTTTAAAAAATATATCAGCTGAATTGCGTTTCAAGATCGTAAATTTAATTGGTGCGTAGTGTGTAGAATTGGATATGTATAAATTTATTCTGAAAATATTAAGCACATAGCTGGAAGCTTTAACTCATATCGAAAAGGTTTTTCTTTTCCTAGTTGTATTTCTACACATATATCAGTGTCATTATTGTATTACTTTTACTAATATTAAAAAAATTCTTAAATTATTTAAAGTAATTTTCAGTATTAAAAAATTAATGAATCGTTACTTTTTAAAGGTAACGATAAAACCTTGGCACAGACTTTTGCATAACGCTGCATAACGCATAAAACGTAAGGCATAAAAAAATCAACCAGAGTCCTTCGTTTCATACTCTGATTTGTTGATTCTCTTATGCCTTACGTCTTATGCGTTATGCAGCGTTATGCAAAAGTCTGTGCCAGAACCTTAACGAGTTACTTTTAAAAATCAGTAACTAGTAATGGTAACTAGTAATGGAAACTACTTTTTTTAACTCGGTAACGAGTAACGATAACTGGTTACTTTAAAAAGTAACTTTCCATTCCCTGAAGATATCCTTTTTAAAGCTATTCAATTTCGGTAATGCGAGATTTCTGCAAAGAATCGCGTCACGTGACACGACAATCCCGCGCGAATAAACATCTTCGTATCGAGGGGATACGCAAATAATATATTGGTCTCGCTCATTCAGCGATACCACGTTTATCCTGGCAAAATTGGCTCTCTCGCAGGTGCTCGCCGGAGACCTCGCTGCTACCGCAGGAGCAAGGTAGGACGCTGCGAGCGGAGGACGCCTCGTGGGACGACGACGGCGTAATCCCCGATTTAAAGATTCTCGCGCTCCGCACGATAGTCTCGGCCTGGAGGGATAATCCTGTTCTAGCGGATCTACCGACGTGCGCCGACAGAGACGCGCTCCTGGAAACACTGCCGACTGATCTACCCATCGAGTTGACGATACCGAGAATCGAAGATGAGTTTTATTGGGAACGCGCGGCCAAGGCCAGGTGAAGACGAAGCCACCTATCGATTCTCGATTACGTGAAATATTATTATGTAATAGCATAACTATATCGAACGCCGTCGTGAACTTTACGTTGAGATTATGAATTAATCCTCGGTCAAATAAGAGCCAATTTCGTTCGACGTTAATTGACTGTAATTTCATTTCGATCTCATTCTAATCTCCTATCTTAATTGATTGACTTTGGTGGTACTTCAAATTTTCCTTTAATTCTCGTTTTATAACTTCCAATTTGCCCTGCAAAAATATTCTCGTTTGTAGAGGGACGTATTTATTCGTTACAATGCGCACGGTTTCACGCGAACAAACATGCAATTAACTGCAAGTGCTTTTAAAAGGTATGATCAATTGATATTAACTTTCGGTTGTCACACTTGACAAAATGACCCCAACTTTTTACATTGGGTAATAAATTTTTTCTAAACTTACTTTCTTTTAAGAATTTTTTTTCAATATAATGCCACTGAAATTTTAAATTCTATGCAATCAGAATACATACTACAATGTTCGAACTCTATTCAAAAATTTTTGCGATCCAATTAAACTGTTAGTCTTTAAACGGCAGCCTTTTAAGTATTGGTTTGACAAATTGACCTAAAATGATCCAAACTTGATTGAAAAAAAGGTGTGACGAAGGTTAAACGCGTTCTGTCAAAACGATTTAACCCTTTGTCGCAGGTGGGAACACAATGATCCAGGCGAGCACGGTGGCTCGTGGCGGCGATTATATTGCGAACGCCACTTAGCTGAGTATCTGGAAACTTTGCAGCCGAACTACTTCGAGCCCCAAAGAGAATATGACAAACTGACTCTCTTGAAGAACCATATACACGTCATCAGGTTACGTTCTCTCGTGCCGACCAAGTAAGGCAAATTAATGTACTAAATCCTCAATTGTGTTTTTATACGACAAAATAATTAATCAAGACAAATCGTAGCAACTTGTACTCGGAAGAAAGCCTTTTTTTGCAAGCTTAATACGGATTTACTGCGCGCGTGAACTGGTATTATAAGGTGAATCAATTCGTGGTGTAAGAGGACGGTTCTTCGTGAAAATAAAAAATATCTGTACAGAATAAAATGTCTCAGTACAAAATTTCGAAAAAATAGGCTTTGAAAATTGAAATAACAGTATTCTGAGTTTTAATACAATATTTCGAAATATAATTGTATACTTAGCTACATAATGAATATAATTTCAATGTCGAAATTCGACAGAATCAGAATCTTATTAAAGAATTCACATTAATAAGGGAATGTTTACAAATTTGCAATTTACGAAAATTACGAAAAACGAATTTATATGGCTCCACGTAACAGACACGAGAAAGATTACGTGTTTGTGTAGCGCCAGCGTTCGAGTAGACCTTGCACCGCTTCGCGCGTACCGCGCAGAAGTCCACGGTATTTGGTATTTACGCCCGGCCGAGAGAACACATCGGAAAATTATTATTAGAGCCGGTCAGTTTGCCGGCTAAAATCGTAAGTGCTTGCACTTGAAGATCCAAGGAGTGCGATGGACTCGCGGCGTAAATATCGCGCGAAAGCGTGGCGGCCGATTCTATAATTGGCCGGAGTATCTAGGAGGCCAATTATAATCACGGACGCCGGAAAATCGCGAATACCCAAGCTTCGGCGGATTCTTTCGTTACCTTAAGTCATCGCGGTATTATACATACAGTCATATCTCATACCTTCCAACATAATAATAGTCTTCATTTGATCCTATATATATTTCTACGACACCAAAATACGTCTTGAATGCGGTAGCGCGTTCATCTACGGGATTTTGGGAACTCTAGGGCGTCACCTTTCACCGAAACACCCAAAGAGGCGCAAAAAAAATATATATATATATTTTCGGCAAAAAACACGATGCCATAAAGTCATTTTGTAAAAAATATTCTGTTTTTGAATCATTTGTCCTTATTACTAAATGTATTTTAATAGCTTAATAGACATTAAAAATGTTACTTAATTACACTGTCTGACATAAATTTTAAACAACGAACAGAATAAAGTGATTTTTACAGATTTTTTTATCGCTGAAAATGAATTCGTAAATGAAATTGTTCTATCAGATTATATTTCTGAGAAAATGAAACCTAAAAGTGTCGAAAATAGAATTTTTTATATATTTTTGAGCTAAAGTATCTCAAAAACATGAGATGATAGAGCAATTTCATTTATGGATTTGTTTTAACGACAAAAAATCTACAAAAATCACCTATTGTATTAACTGTTTTATGCAAGAAGCAATAATTACAATGAAAAAAGGAGAACTTAAATCCGTAGATAAATATAATCTTTTGAGCTTATGCAATCTATTCGTGTCGAATTTTTTAAAGTTTTGTATTATTTTATAAATGAGATGACAAAAAAATAATGCAATGCATTACTTACATGTATTTTTTCTATAAAATCTAATAGTAATATTAGTTTTTATTCAAATCAAATTTTTGTTAATCTTTGTTAATTGTTTACAATAATTGTGTAAACTATTGTAAACAAATTATATTTGATGATTAGATTCGTAATCTGCGACCTCACAAACCATTAGATTCAGGTGATTATTCAAATTATATAAGCAAGAGTTTATCTATGGATTTAAGTCTTTTTTTTATTGTAATTGTCGTTTTTTGCAAAAAACAGCCAATACAAAAAGTGAATTTTTAGATCTTTTAGACTTTTTAGATTTGTCGCTAAAAATAAATCTGTAAGTAAATGAAATTGATCTAACATGCCATATTTTTATATTTTAGCTTACAGGTATAACTCAAAAATTCCATTTTCGACACTTTTAGGTTTAATTTTCTCAATTCTTAAAAACGTGACAGAGCAATTTCATTTACGGATTCATTTTTAGCGATAAAAAAATCTGTAAGAATCACTTTATCCCTCTTCTAGAAAAAAAAAAGTTTAAATTTGTCGAACAGTGTTATTTACTACCTATTATTCATTAGAAGGAGGTGGGCTAGATTGAGACGTTCAAAGATCGCAAATCCCTGAGCGCGAATTTTGTGAACGCGGCCCTGCTTGTATTACACCTTTGCGACATCGCATTCTGTGGAAAAATAGCCCCGTCCTTCTGACATTGCCAATTATTTCGTCCAACAAAGTTGACACTACTTTCATTCACATCTTCAACACGCCAAATTAACATCTGTACGTCGTTGTATAACGCGATCATTGAAGAGAACACTTGTGCAAATTCGGCCGCGCCAAGTTTACCGAAATCGCGACAGCAGCGGCAGAGACGGGCGCGCACGGCAAACGTACTCGCGAGCGAATAAACCTTGTTAATGCGTTAAGGATTCTAATTATACATGAGCTGCGGGAGATATTCACACATTGCACGGCTAGCGAACTGCCGCGGCCATTGAGCGCGGCGAATTTTAGATCACGAACGGTGTAAATTTTCGCGCGAAATTGTAACAATCGCGGCCAAGCATGATATGTGCGACAGTCGATTCTAGGTAGCTGGCTAGCGTGCGCTACTTTCGAAGCGTAACTTTGCGAAGTGGAAAGTAACTCAAGTGCAAGTACTATAGCTGACAAGGGGGACATAAGCAAAACCACACCTCTCTTCTGACAATAAACGTCCTTTCGCAAGCATGTTGCAAAGCATGTGATACGAAAACATCATGATAATACAAATGTATACAATAATAAAAATAATATTTTCATAATTGTTTAAAAAAAAAAAACATTTTCTTCTAATTATAAATTAATAATACAAGAATGTACATTCGTGGCCTCTTCGAAAAACAAGACTGATTTTCTAAAACTTATGTTGGCAATACTGGATACAAAAATAATTGATTGTTCATAAGAATTCGTTCCAAACACAAACAGATTGTGCCTATTTTTGTTCGTTAATTGTAAGAAGTAATTGCAAAATTAGTAATAGTATGTTTTGAAAGTACATCACGAAAATAGAGCAGAAGAATTTTGAATAACGTTTTACGCCATCAAATTTTACCATTTAAACTGAATAAAAGCGCTACACTGAAAAGTTAACAAAAGCTTATAGAGGCCAAGTCCTACTCTTCCGTCGACAAGTTTCTCGTCTTTTCGTAAACATCTTATGCCAATGAGAAATTTGTGCACGATAAAGCTTGGTTACGGAATAAGACTTGGTCTTTATAAGCCTTTCTTAGCTTTTCAAATATTTGTTTCATTTCACTTTCGAGCTTTTATTTAAGCTTTCGTAAACTTTTCGATGTAACACTTTCATTGAGTCTAAAACCAAATTTTGATGACGTAACGTTATTTAATATAATTCTGGTTCGCACAAAATACATACCGTTACTAATTTTGCAATAACTTCTCTCACAACTAACAAATAGAAACGCGCATAATTTTAATACATTTGAGATGAATCAAGCTTAAGAATAGTTGTTTTTGTATCCAATGCTGCCAGCATAAGTTTTAAAAAATTAATCTCATTACTTTCGGGAGAAGATCACTATTAAAATAATAATACTGTACTAATTTACAACGTTTTTGTTTCTCAACACCTGAATGACCTGAATGATTCTTGTGTATTCTTAGCTGCTGAACAAAAAAATAAAGTTAAAAAAGTGTCATCATTCACAGATTTTGAGAATCCATTACTTTTTTCCAAAACCCTACAAATTGAAACAATTTACAATTTTTTTCTTTTACTTTACAAAAAATAAAGTTTTAATTAACATTATATTATCCATTTCTTCCATCACAATAACTTTATACAAAATTGGAATACCATTTTTTTTACATCAAATACTGACAATAAAAATGTTATTATCTTAATATATCACTTTAAATTGTACATAAAAGGGATTTCATTCCAACACATTTATTTTCATATATTGTAAAAAAATATTTAAATTTCTTATAGCTATGTGTATTATATACATATATTACAAAAAAAACGGAATTTCTAAAAATTGTAAAGTGAATTTTTTTTTAAAACATATCCTTTTTCAGAATGTAAAACACTCTACAAGAAATACCTATTCGTTGTTGAAAAACAAAAATTGATCAAAAGGATCCCGCACAAAACCACAGGTTTTTAAACCTCGGTAAAATTAGCTAAATGCTGTAATATGTTATAGTTCTTGATTCACTGATCAAAAGTTTCTTTAGACACAAAGCTTAAGGTTTGTATAGCGTATATATATGTATACACAAGTGATACTGAGGCATTTATGTTTCTTTTGAGTTCGCCTCGACGTTCTCATCTTGTCATATTAAAAAATTCACAAGATTTATATAAAAACAAGAAATTTTTTTCTAAAACTATTTACCTAAGAAAAAACTTTCTTAAATTTTATTATACGTATGTGAAGTGTAAACATACATACAATCTTATATGACATATAAATTATACATAGCTCACATAATAACATCTTTTTACATATAAATTAAATCAATTGCGTAAGTTTTCGTTATTTTTTCATCTAGATTAAAAAATAATATATAGTAATCGCGATTTTACAAAAGTATTGGCATATCTTTTTAGAATTTTATTTTTTTAGCTTCAATAAGCTTTTTAAGCTCTCTTTAAGCTTCTTAGCTTTTTATTTTTTTATATTATTGTTTCATAATATTTAAAGTTATTTTGATTTATTAAGCACATTAGCTAATCATTATACGTATTATTTTATTATAATCATTAGAGCAATTATCGAGTTCCCGTGTCACACGTGCGACATATATACACACAAACATTCTCAAATACATAAAAAAATTGCATATTATCTAAAATTTTTCGATCACAAAAAATTGATTTGAAACATTGCTAAAATACAATACTTCAAACAGCTGTAGCAAAAAAAACCAGCCAAGCTTTGTGCTCAAATCCTGGGCAGAAAGCTTGAAAATGGCCAGTTTTTTTGCTAGGGTTTTACAATGGGACCAGTACTGAACCAGTACTAGTTGTCAGAGTTCCAGTATTGGCACAGTACTGGTCACATATCGACCCAACATTGGCGTCGGATGATAACTTCCGGCCAATACTGGCAACTGACACCGGCACTGGCTTTACACGATCGGTTCAGCGCTGAGCCAGTATTTGCAAAATCGATGTCGAGCCGATATATAATTTGCCAATATTGGCCCAACACTGAACCGATCGTAAAGCCAATGCTGGGCCAGCATCAACTGCCAATAGTAGTGCCCAATACCGTAATTCTGGCAACCAGTACTAGCCCAATACCCGCGATTAACAGAATATTGGCTAATTGGCATTCATAGATCGGCCAAACATTGACTTCGTTGCAACGTCCGACTATCCTATTCATATTATGAAGCTGAAGCTTCAGCCAATTTCATCGACGCCCAAAAATCCGTGGTTTTATGGATTCGTTTAGCGTAACCATGGTGTAACCTCATAATAACTACAATAATTTCGCAAAAGTTTTGAAATCTTTTTCTGAGTTATTTTAAATTTCACGTGCGAATACACATGCAAAATTTTTGAAGCGCTATTCAAAAAGTGCCGATACACTTTTCATAGACACACGTTGCGAATTGTTAACATCACCGCGCCCGTCGTTCCAGTTTCATTTCATTTCCAGCTTTTAAGGCCGCATTATAAAATGTTGTTGAGAACGGAGGTACTGTTTAAAAAGTAAAGAAGCAAATTTACATAGTTACGGCCACAGAGTCGGCAGGAGATGGTCCCTTACTGCCGTTGTAATGAAATTGGAACAGGTAAACGTGAGGGCGGGAGAAAGAGTTGCGCGATCACGTTTGCAAAACTAATCCCCGGCAGAACGAGCAAAATGGCCTCGCGCCCGTATTGTACTCGCGAAAAAAAAAAGGAATTAATTAACTTCTGCACGCGAATTTTGCAGTATTATGAATGTGGAAAAGGCGTTATACGAACGTAATACGAATTTTATAAAAAGTTCACAAGATAAAATTTTTATTTCCTAACTGAACTTATAAGAGAACATATGCTGTACATACATCATCTACTTATAGAAAATATTTAAAAACTTTCTATTTTAAGTAAAAATAACAGAAAATCGTTATTCTTATTTATTTAATCATTTTAATGTTAAACATCTCACCTCACAATCAGTAAATAAGCTGTCATTTAGAAACATTAAAGCAGAATTGACTCAAAATTAATTATAGATAATTTTTTATAGATAATTTATTCCTGTAGAATTATTTATCGTCGAGATTTCATAAAAATTACAGTTATTATTTAATGTACGAGAACTTCATCTACTTTGATTATTACCTAATTGTCTTATCTAATTTATTTCGTATCGCTTAAGTTTTTGCCATTCTAACGTGATAAAACTTTTAGAGCTCTCTTTGTAAATATTTCATTGTGATTCGGCACTGATAATTTCGAGAACGCTTGGTTATTCTACAGTACGTATAGCACATGATTTTAATAAGTAAAGTTGAGTCAAGAAAGCGTTATCATTCCACGATGGCAACCGCTATGAGTTCTAGCCTAGAAATCACAGTCTCATTTAATTAGAAGCCACGAGAAAGGGAGAAAGCTGGCGAAAGGTAATTCTCTCAGATCACACCAGCCTGCTCCCTTTCCGAGCAATCCGTAAATCCGCTGCAAGATTTATCTTCGCTTTTATTCGGATTACGAATGATAGGTCCTTTTATCGCGAACTGTCTGAACTTTATATCTTCCCTTTAATATCATACTATTTACTAAACAATTGTAAGATTAACAATATTTAATTTATTATAACAAAGATTATAACAATAATAATTTATTATTATTGTTATAAATTATATATATTATATATTATATATTATTGTTATAAATTAAATATGTTATTATATTAAAAATTTTATTAAAGATTATAAAATAATAATTATTATTATAATCTTCACTATAGAAACTGTTTCATTATTTTTGATGCGCGAAAAAAATATTTTCATTGAAACAATAAAAGAGAGAATATTTTTTATACTTTTGAAATTATTAAAATTTCACAAAATCTTTATATATATACGTATATAATATTTGTACTTATATTTCTTTACATATAAATATTTATCTCAAATTTTTTAATATTTAAAAACGTTTTTTTAACCCTTTCGTACTTACAATCAGTATACATATATCCATATAAGTAGCTGTATATTATAAATTATAAAATAAAATATATTATGATCTATATTTTCATATCTATGAATTTGCAGAGTACGTCAAAAGTCTGAATACAGTCAAATATAATATATTTTATAAAGAATTCAATTTTGAAAAAAAAGTTTTAGACAAAAGTTGTAAGGTTTAAAAAAAAACGCATTAAATGATAATATCCATTTGACCTTGAGTGGTGTTGCCAAGATATCTTAAATAACATTAATGCCGGTAGTATTTGAAATTTGTTAACCAATAACTCAAAAAATACTTAAACAAAACTTTAAAAAATAGAAACTTATATCTAATACCACAATCGTCTCAATGTCAATTATAACAATGTGCAATAAAAAGTAAAAGGTACTATTTAAAAAAATCAAGTTGTCCTTGATTTGACCTTGGCAACACCATCCAAGATCAAATGGATATTCAAATGGATATCGTTTAATGCGTTTTTTTAAATCTTAAAACTTTGTCTAAAATTTTTTTTCAAAATTGCATAGTTTACGAGATATTCGATTGCATGTATCCAGACTTTTGGCGCAACCTATATTAGTTTCTTATAATTTTATGTAACTGAAAAGACTTACCAAAAGTAAAAAAAATTATTATGTACAACTTTTTAATGCAAATTAATATATATATAGCTGTAATAAAATCTTTACATTCAAATCGTCAAAATGATTGTATGAGTCACTTGTTTGTTTATATGTAACACGCATACAAAAGTATATTTTTAACTGCTAAATAATTTGGGAATCAGAGAGAGTTAAATATATAACTTTCTGTATTAAACGCAAATTATTAACTGTGGCATATCGAATGATACGGCTGTATTAATTAATACACGAAACTGTCAGCCTCGACTTTCAATGCACGCACGGATTTATTCGAAATTCCATTTTGTATATCAATCTAGTGCATCCAACGTATCCAGCGTATATCTGACGATTAATATGGCCCGGCGCGTGTACGCGTTCTTCAATTATTCACAGCGGCTAGCATACAACTAGGCCTCTACATACGCGATGTAGTTTGTGCAACGTAATCCATCGTCCAATATTGATCAGAGCCACGACTCACTCAAATACATTAACTGTTTCGCGAATGAATCGTTAAGTAACAGCTCCAACTAATTTTTTTTACATACATAATTTTTGCAATACGTTACCACGAGTAAAATAATTTTTTCTTCTACATTAAAAAATCGTTTTTTCCTCGCTCGTTCCTCGTATCGTGGATTGATTGACAGCACGAATATAAATATAATATAAAAAATCGATATAAAAAAATATATAACAATAATATATAAAAATATAGAATTAATGAAAAGTTCACAAAATAAAATTTTTTGTTGTTATATTCGGAACATTCCGTAATATTTATTCAAAGTAAATGCAATTAAAATAAATGTCTAATTACAGAAACTACATTTTTTAAACTTTGTTACTCAAGTTTTTCACATTGAATGTATTATTATTATGCTCCATTTGTCAAAATATGGTTTATTTTTCAGGTATAAATAATTAATTTATAAAAATATTAATATTAAATTAAGAGGTCATAAACAAGCAAAATTTATGGGTACAGGTACTAATAAATATATTTCATTTAAATATCAAGATGTACAGATATACATATATATGATAATTGATTACGTTGATATGAGTTATATTATTTCTTTTTATGTAATCATGTATTAATTATTTAATGTTGGCGGCTGATAAAGACTGTAATAAAGTCGAAACTGATAAATAAATCGCAATCATATATATCTGTATATCTTGATATTTAAATGAAATATTTATTAGTATACTCATGAATTTTGCTCGTTTACGGCCTCTTAATTTAATATTTGTCTTTACAATTACGAGCGGTATTTAAATTATTATAAAAATATTGTCTTGATAATTATTATTCTTAATTAACCGATAATATTGAATAAAAAATTAATTCTCGACAAATTGCGTTTCTCATGCACGCCTGGATGCGGCTTCCAGAAAGCAGACAAAGCGAGACAACGAGGAGAGCGATGAATCAATCCTAGAGGAAGACGTCGCGCATCACATTCCCATGGCAGTCGTACTCCCACAATTCCCGCATCTTACCGAGATTTACCTCAACTTCGGCATGATCTATATGAACGACGGTTTCGAGTGGCGGGACTTCGAGTGAGTCGGAAGTCCAGTGAGCGCAAAGATGAAGAGGATCCTCCCCGTGTTAAACGACTGATAAAACATTCATCGCTCGTACAGGTTCTCGCTGGAGGATTGCTTGAGTCTGGGAGAAGGAATTAAAGCCAGTCCGAAATTGAAGAAATTCAGTTTAACCCGGAGCAACTTGGATCAACCCCGAGTCGCTGCTATTCTCCAAGGGATGGTGTCAAACGATAACGTTAGTTCACGTATCTTCATTATGCAAGTAACGCATAGAGAGAGAGAGAGAGAGAGAGA